ATAAAAATAGAAGACCATCATTGTATTAGAATAGGTAATGGTTGAAAAAATCCATGAGATCAATAATGAAGAGTTTTGGATCTTGAATAAATATCACATGATTGTAGAAAGTATTTGACTACCTTTTACATTTGAAGCCACTAAAAAATTTTGTATATTAGTTTCAAAGTCTTGTTATATCCAAAATATCCGACTATTGAAAAGTCATGACAAATTTGAAGAACACATAATTGTGCCCCATCTTTTAGAGTGTATAATCATTCCTTGAAATAGAGTAGGTTGTTTTTGAATTCAACCTTAGAAGTATCATGAAACTTAGATAAATTATTCTTGATATCATGGACAAGAGGATCAAAGGACATACTTGATTGAATTTGTTTGATAAAAGTTGAATCAATAGTCAATGTTGATTTATTGCTTGAAGGTGACAATGCTTCGATTCCAAGAGAATCATTCTTTATGCATCAAAAGATGCATCTCATTCTTTTGGTATAAGATAAGAACATCTAAAAAAGACATCTAATAAATCTTATTGTTTTTTAGATCAATAACTGATTTTAAAATCAAATCTTCATAAAGATGTATTCCAATGAGCTTGGCAATAATTCAAAATATATGTCGACATAAAATACTCAAGGTTTTATGATGTACATATATTGTGACTAGATTCAAGGCACCTTCTAAATAATAATACCATTCTTGAAATGAATCCACTATTGTAAGGAATTTTTTGTTGTGGATTTCATAATTAATCTTCGCTACTGAAATTTTTTTGAAATGGAAAGCTATTAGATAAAGTTTGTCATCTACTCTCATTTATAATAATACTGCATTTAAAGTAAATTTTGATGCATCTATTTCCATGAAATATGATTTGAAGAGTCAACATGATATAAAATTGGTGCAAAAATAAATTACTTTTTCAAAGCATCAAATGATGCTTTAGCTTTCTTACTCCACTTAAGTTTTTTTTTATAAATCAAACATATAAGTGAAGCTACCACTTGAAAAAAATATTTGATAAAGATCTGATACTAATTGACAAAGTCCAAAAAATATACACATCTCTTATTGTTCTTGGAATCTTCAAATCCGTCATAGTTTGGATCTTCTTTGGATCCATTATTAGTCTTTGATTAGAAATAATGTATCTTAAGAAGTCAATTTAAGTAATATAGAATATATACTTTTTTAACTTAGCATATAATCCTAAATTTTTAAATTTTTGTAACACATAAAAAACATGAACTTCATGCTCTTTTGAATTTTTAGACTAAATTAAGATGTCATCTAAATAAAAAATAATAAAATCATCAAAAAACTCACAAAAGACATTATTTATTAGATATTAGAAAGATGCTAGTGTATTTATAAGTCCAACAGGCATGACGTTGTATTTGAAATATCCATACCTAATTCAAAATATAATCTTTTATTCAATTCCTTCTTTTATGCATATTAAATTGTATGTTCTTTGTAGATTAATTTTTATATAGATCTTAGCTGAATTCAATTAATCAAAACGTTAAAATATCAAAAGTAGCAGGCATTTATTCTTAATGGTGATTTTATTGAGTCTTTGATAATCAACACACATCCATAATGATCTATCTTTTTCCTTCACAAATAAAATTAGAGCTTGTGCTGGAAATTTGGAATGGCATATAAAGTCTTTGGCCAAATTGTCTTTAATATACTCCTTGAATTTAGCCAATTCATTTTAAGATAAATTGTAAATTGGTCCAAATGGCAATTGAGCTCCTTCTTGAAGATTAATTGAGCAGCCATAGGAACAATGTTTTGCAAGAATATTTATATTTTTTTTTTCAAATATATCTTGAAAATCTTGATATTGGCTTGAAATGCTACTTAAAGTCTTTCAACGATTAGAAACAAATATGGCATAAATGACACAAGATAATCCTTCTTTTGTAACATACAAAAAAACTCTTGCATTTACAAATATATGTTTAGTTGCACTAAATTTATGAATTTTTACTTGATTAATTATATTCTTAGTTATACTTTAAAAAAAATCAAGACTATAAGAAATCTAATCTATTTTGAGTTATGTTTTTCTGGCCATGATAATTTTAAAATGATTAGATTAAAGAGAGATCTAATGATATTAAATATTACAAAATTACTATGACCATTAGTTATTATTTTTATAGGAAGGATTTTATGATTAATATCTCTTGAAGAGAATAGATGACCATCTACAACTTCTATATGAACATATTTAATTTTCTTTATTAAAGATATGTTATATCTTTTAGCAAATTTTTCATCTAAAAAACACCTTGAGGCTCTTAAATCTAACAAGGCAAAGGCTTTGTTATATTTAAGTCCTAAAGTAACATTTATTATAAAACAATGAGAGGATTTTGAAGAGAAAATAAGATCTTCACTAGGTGTTGTACAAGATTTCAATTACATGATCTCTATTATAACTGGAGAAACTCGTTTTCTAACATATTATCTTCTTTGACAATTGTACTATTCATTTTGTAGTTGTATTGCTTCTTTATACAATATTGAGCAATATACTTAGGTTTTTCACAATATAAGCACAATCCTTTTTGACAACAACAAGTCTTGTTTTGCTCAATAAGATGTTTGAAACATATTGTATCAATTTGCATATTCTTTACTTCTAAATATATGTGTTGAAGAGACATTGGTTTTATCATTAAATTGTAATAATGTTGAACCTCAGTAGTGCGACTCTCAGATTGAAATTCAAAAAATTAATTATTAGACTTCACAACAAAATTAATTGCTTCACTAAATGTTTGAGCATCAAATTTTTTATACCATATTATAATCCATAGAAAAATTGTCTAACAAGTACAACATCATCTCACTTGATATTAATTGCAAGTTGTCAAAACTGGGAAGCATATAACATTATTGATTGATTGTCTTATTACAAAATATGAATCTTATTGGTTGCAATATAAATTGTATCATTTTTTCTATATATAAATAAAAAAACTTTTTCAAAAAAGCCTCTAGATTTTTCAATATTGGATCTTGTTGTTCAAAAAAAGATAAAAACTATGATAATGTTGAACTTAAAAGAAGTATATCAATAATTTTAGCTTATGATCCTAGAGTTGGATAGCTTTGAGATTGGAGTTCAATCACAAGTTTTACTTAATTAATAAATCTTCAAAACTTGGATCTTATTCCATCCAATTTCTCAAACAATGCAACCCTTAGTTTTCTAATACTAAAACGATATTCTACTATAGGAGAAGGGATATGATTTGATGCAGATATTGAAGCATCTCCAATCATGTCTATATCTTTGCTCTCTACCATTCTCATTGCTTCTTCTGGTGGTAAATTGAGTTGATGCATTACATGCATTAACTTTCTCAATTCTTCTTACATTTGTACCATTACATTCTTCATTTCAAGAAGTTCTACCATGAAAATATTTGGAGAAGAAAAGATGCCTAATATCACTCAAGACAAATAGAAGAGAAGACTTGAGAACAAAGAAAATAATAAGGACAATATTAGTTTAGAAGAAGGTAATCCGCAACTTATAATACAATTATGTCATATCAAGAACAAAAGATAATTCATGTCTTAATGAAGAAAAAACAAAGCTTTGATATTGTAAGTATATTCTTGTCAATCTATCAAGGATAAAAACCTCATGAAAGCAAATAACGAAGTGAGACTTTTCTCAAAGATGTATGATAAAATAGAAGCAATGAAATATATATTAAAAAGAAACTCAAATGGCTATTGCTAAAAGATAAGAAAATTAAAGACTCTTGAATCTACACTACAGCAAGTAAAGAGTTGGTAAAAGTGAAGAAGGCTTTAGTCTTCTCTTTATATATACTATTTAACTAAGAGCTACGTGATAACATTTTATAGGACATTTAACATGTATTGACTTTGCAAGCCATATGTTTTAACTTACAAGACAAGTTTTATATGTGCATCACATAGTTAACTTATTCCATAAGTCATCTACATGTGTGACATATAGTTAATTTATTTACCAAGTTTTTAACCTAAAAATCAACTATAAATACGTATAAAATTAAAACCATGTCTATGAAGCTTTTAGGAAGTTTTTTTAGAAGATATAATAAAATTAATTTATTTTTATCTACTTTTATTTAACTCTATTTAATCATAATGGTAATTATTTAAGTAAGTATATATGTACATGATAATTTTTCATACATGGATTAAAACTTTATCAAAAAATCCTCAAGATTATCTAATATTATATCACATCATTTAATAAAAGATAAAAACCATGATATAGTAGAATACGAAATTAATGTTTCAATAAACTTAACTTGTGATCTTAGAGTTGGATAATTTTAACTTTAAAGTTTAATCACTAGTTGTACTAAATTGATAAATTCTCGAAACTTTGATATTGTCCCAACAAACTTCGACTAAGGCAACTCTTAAATCTCTAGCACTTGAATGGTGTTCAATCATAGGAGAAGTAACATGATTTAGTGTAGATATTAAAGCAGATCCAGTGTGGTGATAAATTGATTTGATATATGACAAACATTAACTCCTTCAATTACTCTTAAATTTATTCCATTGCATTCTTCATTTCAACAAGCTCTATTATGATAACAAAATTATATGTATAATTTAATATAAAAATTTTAATATAAAAAAAACATCATTAAAAACCCACAAATGTGAAAAGTCCGCCATGGGAAGTTAACAAAAAGCCACCCCAGAAAGTAAAACGGCAACCGTAACCCAAAACCGTGAACTCACAGTAACAGGGCCTATGTGGATAAACCGCATCGAAGAACGAGGGACGTTGAAAATCCAGAGGAAACAAGGAGAGAGTTTCCACGTAGCTTCCCCCTCTCGACGAACCATGGTCGTCGTCGACGACGGCGGCAGCGGGTTTCGTTGGCGCGCGGGTTGGGGGGGGGATGGATGTGTGTCGTCGTGGGTCACTCATGGGTGTGTGCCTCGATAACGCCTCCATGTGCTTGTCTAGATTTTCGGGGCTCTGGAGTGCAAGCCTCGAGACGCTGGTATTCAGAGCCTGGCTCTCACCCCACCACGCCGAGTATAGTAGCCTGCGCTTACATGGATCTATTATGTACGTCTCCAGGTTTCGGCGTGGAAGCACAGTGCCGTTAGATTGCTGCTGGGAAGAAAGGGCGGACGGGGTGGGCAGGCAGGCACACAGGCAGGGTGCTGTGTGAGTGAGTGAGTGCGTGAGTTAGTGCGTGGTTTGGGTTTGTGTGCATCAGTGTCTCATGTCCTGGATGCCTGGTTTTGCGTCGCGTGTTCGGTGATTGCGCGACTTCGTGGCGGTGCTCAGTTGCGTGCAGGAGGAGGTTGTCCCATCGAGAAGTCGGTGTAGTTTTTACGTTGGGTTCAGAATCAGGTGCTGGTCTGGACTTTTTGCTCGGGTTTTGCAGTGCATCCTCGGCGGCGCTCTGGGTTTTGTGTGTGTTCGTGGACTTGCGAGTAACTTGGGCTGTCGGAGTAGGCATCACCGGTGACTTGTCTGGTTGAATATACACACACATGCACACTTGCGTCTCGTGTGTGTGTGTATGTTTTTGGATTGATTGACGGCGTTTTTCTTTTCGTGGTACCAGTGCAAGCAGTTGCTTCTCTTGTGCATTTCCGACATTTGAAGTGACTTCCGCGCAACGGTAGTCACCTTTTTATAGCTGTTTTTTTTTTATAAACAGTCGCTACCTCTGGGTCTGGGTTGTGTAGGGTTAGAGGACGACGGTACGCAAGCAAACAGAAAAAGAATCTACTCTATAGATTTTTAAAAACCCGAAATAGGGAGAGAACCAAGTGCACCGCGAGAAACGGAGAGGCATTGTACGCTCAGAGAGGGACTTAAGGTTTTTCGGATTCGAGCGGCTCTTTGTAGTTGAGGAATGTGTACAGTCGAGGATTTATGGTAGCACCATGGTGACGAGGACGTTTCATATCTAGGATCTAACATGTAGTGTAGTCCAGCACGGAGGTATTTTTTTTTTCTTTTTTCTCTCCCTGTTGACTACTCCAGTGGAACCTTCAAAGGATTTGGTTTCGAGTATCTCGCGATGGAAGGTGAGGCAGCGGGTGTTTCTCCGGCTGCGCCACCCTTGAAGCGACGGAGGGGACGACCCCGTAAATCAGAACTACCACCGACGTCGAGCAGCGGAAAAGACGCTGCGGCGCCCCAGAATGCACGAGGAGCTGGAACTGAACTGGCCAAGCCGAGGAAGCAAAGGAAGAGGAAAGGCGTGGAGGCCGCTCCAGCTAGTGTAGATGTCTCCATGATTGGGCAACAAGTGACAGGTGTTTTGGACGGGACTTTTGACGCAGGCTATCTGTTAAGCGTCAGGGTTGGAAACTCAGACGTGGTATTGCGAGGCGTGGTATTCGGTCCCGGCTTGTCGGTGCCGCTGTCAAGAGCGCCTGATGTCGCACCTGGTGTGAAGTATGTCAGGCGAGAGGAAAAGTCCTTACCGCCTGCTGCGAAGGTCCCCATTCCTCCCAAGCCTCCGGTTCCTTCCAAACTCCCAACAGTTTCGCCATCCCTCCCATTCGTAGTGCAAACGTCTCTTCCTCCTCCCAGCGCAATCCCTCCCACATCAGAAGTCTTGGAAGCCGCTGCAGCTGTGTTCGGGAATTCCCTCCCCGCAGTATCGTCTCCCGCGCTGCCATCGACTGGTTTGGTAGCTGCGTTGCAACAATTACCCGGGAGCGGGTACACCCCAGACTCATCCACTTTTTCCCAAACCACCTTCCAATCGGAGCCTGTGAAACAAGTCACGCAACAGACCAATGTGGTTCATTCTGGGGCATGATTCCTACTCGGGAGTTGGACTGCCAGGTGTATCTTAGTTTTGGAGGTTCTAATACTGATGATTATTCTCATGTTGTTTGATTAGCTGCGACGTCAAGCTTGGTTGGTTTTAGCAAGGGAGGGAAAAAAGAACAGAAAAAGGGGTAGCAAGGCGGGGAGGCCAAGTAGACTCCCACCTTCTAAGTGACAGTTTCTGTACAGAAGCAATGTTGGGAGGAGCAGCAGGAGCAAAGGTTGAAGGTTACCGTTAGAGTCTGCCGACGATGGCGTAAAGATGGACGGTGCATCACTCTATCTTTGGTTCTACGTCGGAATCGACATTAGGCAAGGCAGGAGATGATGATCATCATTGAATCCGTATGTAGGATTTTGCCACCATATTTGTGTGTGGAACATTCACACTCGATATAGACAAAACCCAGACTCTCACCTCCTGCATGCACAGCTTCTGCTGATTGCTGTCCCTTGAGTAGCATCCCAAGGTGTAACATGTCTGCAAGGAAATATTTCCTTTTACGTTCCAACTAGTTTCTCTCACATTTTCTCTAACTCTTTCTTCCTGTTTTGATGACCTAATTTCTTGGCCTCGTTGTACTGTCCGAGTCTAGGCGTTCTCTCTTTTGCATCCAACTTTAGCGGGAACATGTTTTGAGAATCCTGATCAAGTGCCTTTTTCTTTTTTCCTTTTTGCAACGTGGACCTTGTGTCGTGTGTAGAGGAAGAGGCGATTATCCTCTTGGCGTGTTTGGGATTTTCTTCAGAGTAGCACACGGCCTATCCCTGGTATGTGATCTTGCAGTGAAACCTCAACCAGTATCGGAACAAATTCTTAGCCCATTTTATTAGTAGAGCTTTCGGCCCCCTCTAGTTTTTATGAGCGCAAGCTGATGAAGAGACTACATGAGGTGATTTGTGTGGTTTGATTTATAATAACAGCTTTTTTGTGATATGTAAAGTTTGAAATTCATTAATAAACATCCAGCTGAATGACCGTATTTTTGGATATGTTACGGTGTAGATATCAAAGATGCATTTAGATGAAGAGATTTGAACCTTGAAATAGTTTTACATGACTGTAGTCAGGATTAATGGCAGAAAAATGAATACATCATGGAAGCACATTATGGTCGTGAAATCTTGTTTTTTGTGTGAAGTCAGTGAACTTCATCAACTAAAACTTAAATCAATGAAAACAAGTGCAATGCAAAATTTTGCGAAAAGAATGAAAAGAGGAGTAAAGAGAAAAACTCGAGGGGATTTAGAAGGCAACGCAGGAAGCTAGCAGAATTGATTCTCTGCTAGAACCTTGATTGTCTCTCTGGTTCTTGCACTCATCATTGAATTACATTTAACTTGCAATACATGCAATGGACGTACGATTTTGAAATGGCTTCGTAATTGTAGCTACAACGGTTAGAAATTCTTGGAATGTCATAACCCACAAAAACATAAATCTTCTGATTTGACAAGTTTCAATGATAAATGGACAAATTTTAAAGAATATTTAATAGCAAACCATTGCTATTTCATCCAGTACTTTGGGTGAAGAAAACTGCTGCGAAGCTCTTGCAAGGGCAGGCTCTAAAAACGGGGTACTTCGACAGAAAGTTTGTGAAAAGTCCATCTGTTTACTAAACACACGGAATTGAATTCAAGATGTTGAACTCATATAAAAAACCAAGGCTCGTCAAAACCCATTTTTAGTATTCTTAATGCAAACGATGACTCGCTTACACGTCGGAATCTAAGTCCAGGACACATAAACTTCATTGTTGAGTTCAATACAGTTGCTCATCAGCCTTCGTAATGATGATATAAAACAACCTAGTAAGGTAAAAAGTTTCTCTGCTGCCTCTACAAAAATCGGAAAGGAGATTTCTATCACTACCAGCGAGCCGAAATGGTTCAACGGGACAACTGCGAAGGAATCCACAAACTACGAGATAAAGGGGTCTCAAGCGCGGGCCAATACATGCGCACGTCACAGAGGAACATTAACATACAACAGATACATAGAGAGTGCGCGAGATCTCCTCCGTATCTAGACCAACCAAGCATTCAACCAGCATCTTGTTTGTAATCAAAGTGTCTTAACTGAGAAGGCCACACTTAGAACTAGTACCAACAGCCAGACAAGTGGTTAAATTCTCCACGAAGGACGATGATAGGATTACCAGTGGCTCAGTAAAGGCGTCCTCTCTCGCTGATTAGGTTCTTTAAAATCAGAATGAGCTAGGAGGAAGGAAACCCCAGTTGCTGCTAAGAAGGTGAAAATAATAATAAAACATAAAACATAAAACATAAAAATTACTAATTTGTCTCCATATTCCTCCATAAGAAGGTTTGTCCCAAAAAAGGTTTGCACCAAAAAGGTTTGTCCTTCCCGTCGTCAAGTTCATTCCACCCGTATCGTAGTTGTTGCTGCATCAGCCTTGAGCTCGGTGTTAAGATCCACATTGACGTGCTTTAGTGCTCCTCGGAGGGGTTCAGTCCTAGCTAAAAAAATCTATCACCTGGCACATTTATTCAAAAAGAAACACCAGGGTGTATGTCTTCATGTGTGCATGACTCCAGAGATTGTCAAAAAAATAGAATGCAATCAATCGTATACAGCCCCACATCGAGTAAACTACTGGTTCTGTTTGAACTAGATGCGTGCTGCAAGCATGTGTTGTTTTCTGGTCAATAAGTTCAATTCGAGCTTAAAATGAGATCTAGAACATTGTAATTTCAACTGAAGTGTTTGCCTAACTTAGCATGCAAAATGCATTGAAAATGGATCTACCTTATCATGAGTTTTCTGCCGTTTCGAAAGAAGAAAACCTGGAAAAATCGGTGGAAGGATTTTCACTTTTCTGGACCCGCAGCTTCGGTAATCTTGGTGTTGAGATCACTTACTCTCCGCACCCCAACATCAGATTCGCAATCCTCTTATTTCAATCAATTGAACAATTTCCACACATCCTAATTCACCATGCCAGTTATTCCAAAATAAAGTGCATTAACGGAAGAGCAGAATCAAACACTCTAGTACCTCCTCCTAAACTACTCTTTGAGCTCGTCGTGCCAAAAAGATTAAAGTTTTCTCTTCTGCAAGCCGTTGCAAAAGTATTCGAAGCTCCACGATTGCATTGCTCCAAGCTCAAAGTACCAGGAAATCATCTGGAAAGCATCTGAAGGGTACCAAAAAAGTGCAGTACTTAAGCAGTCACATTCGTTGTATCTTTCAAAGCCATTACTTCGCCAACCAAGGAATGGGTTGCAAAGCCAGCCCACTGGAAGCACGGTCTAGGTGGATAGCAAGCAAACTAATAGGGAGAAACGCAACCAACGCTGCTGCAATTTGAACCATTCTACTCAATCTTTCTAGTGAATTGCCACCCACAATTAAGTAACCACAAACACCAAAAGGCAGTTCTCCTTGAAACTTGAGTCTTACAGAATCCTATTTCAAACATGAACACAACCTTGTACCAGGAACGATCTCATCTTATTGCCCTCTTTAATTAATAACACTGTTTATGCATCCTCTTTCCAATTTGTTCATATCCATGCATACGACTTAAATCGTTGTCACAAGCTCAAGAGTCCGAGTGCACTGCATTGAAGATAGCTAATCCGCAGTTCGCCGAAAACCTGACGCCTAATCTCACGGTTCGAATTGAACCTCCAAACCCAAAATTACCTGATGACTGTCCCTGTGCTTGTATCCACTAAAAGATGAACCTTTGAATTGAATGTTTATCTGAATTCTTGATTCCTTAGCGTCTTAGTGAGATTGGAAGTCCAATGTAATGAGCCCAAAATGTATATTTGGGGTTGGGGCTGAAGATGGCAAAAAACTTGCAGTTATTAAAGGTCAATCCATAATGACTAATCTATTGCTATTAACTAGATTTAAGTTTTAAATTTAATTTTTGGTAAATGTTACTCTTATCATGTAGATTAGGGTCTTTAGTTCTTATTATTCACAAGGCAAACTGAAAATAAATAGAAGAATGAAAATTCAGGGGTAATATTTGTCTAGGACATACAAATCTAGAAGTTGTTATACCAAAATAATGATGAGGGTGGCAATTTCTATGCTTTGACATGATCACCTCTAAATTTGTATCTTGTGGATGAATGACTCTTGTAGATTATAATCCACAAATAATACTTGGATAAAAGATTTTGCCTCAACATGTTGCTCCTTAGGGTTGGATATGTTTTCCCTTTTTTCATCTGTTTGTTTTATTTAAGAAACAAATATTGGTAATTAGCATATATATATATATATATAATTGTAAAATAAATTCTTTGTATTTTCAAGATCTTTTTTAACAAAATAATAAATAGTAGAAATGATGTATATATATATATATATATATATATATATATATATCCTTTTTATTACTTTCATATTATAATTCTTTTAAAAAATAATTTTTAAATTTTTTATATAGACTTTATAGTAAAATAAATTTCAATAAAGTTAAAATTATCGAATATTGTCAAGGTAAATTACTTATTTTTAAATTTGATCACTTTAGTTTAATATTGTGGTATTGTAAGAATCAAGGTGTTTTTTGAGTGATTAAGTATTATTAGGAATTTTTAAGGAAGATTTGATAATAATTGAATTGTTTGAATTAAGTTTTTCATATAAATTCTTATAATATACATATTATAGTCTATAATTAATTTTTCATATATAATTTATATTTTTCTAATATTAAGATTTTTAATTCTTCTTAAATCCTAGAATTGAAGTTTTTAAATTTTATTAATTACTTCTAATTTTGATTTTGATTATTATAATGATGATAGGATTTTATATTTATTCATTTTTTTATTTTATTAAAACACTATATAAATTTTTTATAAAAGAATCAAAAATTTAAAGTAATAACATTTATTAGTTATAAAAAAATCAATAATTTTGTGCCAAATATTTTTTAAATCCGTTTTTAATTATATATTGATTATAGGTTTTTTAAAAAAGTAAATAGTTATTCTCATACATTACCTTAACATCATTGTATTCTGAATTAAATAAATTAATATAAAAACTTCTGGTTTTTTTACCCCTAATTATCATTTTAAAAATCAAATATAAAAAATAAAAATAAAAATAAAAATAAATAAAAGATAATGCTATGAGTATAAAAAATGTTAATTGAATTAAATCTATTTCCAATAGACTAGATAATTTAGATATGATACTTTATTATAATGTCATCCATATTATAATATTGAATTATATATTTTATACTTTTTAGAAACGTGAGTTTTTAGAAATTTGTCTTTCTTAAAGAATAAATTAGAGTATGATAAGAAGCATGGCCTCATAAACCTACCTATATATTTTAAATATTTAAAAGCATTATTCTATTACAAGTAACAAATCTAAATTTGATTTTTTTATGTACTGTAATATAATGTTATTTCAAAAATAAATTAATGTATAAATAAATACATAACATTGTATGAAAAGTTAAAATTTTAGCATAAAATAAATAAAAAGAAAAAAAAAAGAAGAAGAGTAATCTTAAATTATTTTTTGTCAAAAGAAAAATGATAACATACTAATAAAGATTTATATTCAAATCTTTAGAATAAATCTTTAGAATGAACCAAAATTTATACCATGTTAATTGTAATCCTCTTCATGTATTACATTATAAAAAGTGTAAATTTAATTTTTTTATCTTTTAGCTCAATTTCATATGAAGTTTGTATTTAAAAAAAAAAAAAAAAAAAAAAAAAAAAAATCCTTCAATAAATGTTTTGAAATGTTGACATTATTGTGTTTAAAAAATTGTTATCTTTTTGTTTAGTTATCATATTTTAATGGATAAGTCAATATATAATGTGGCCCTTTCATGTTTTTTTTAAATATATATATATATATATATATATATATATTTCCTACATTATTATCCTGAGAATATTTAAAGGTGATCTTAATATATTTAGAGGCCAGTTTGTAAATTTTTGTAGTTCTTTATTTTCTTGTGTCATATACTCATACTTAAACAATATTAAGATATGGGATATAGTTAAGTTTATTACTTACAAAAACACAATTATCTACTTCTTTGAAAATCTTTAAACTACTTTAAAAATCTACATATAAATTTTTAAGTGGTCATTTAAAAAGTAACGTTAATATATAATTGTCAAATCGTAGGATTAAATTGAATGGCTAATTTAGAACGAAAAATTATACACTTAAGCTTTCAAATTGGTAAAAACAATATTTGTATATTCATTACCAATTAGTTAAATATAGCCTTTGTCAACCAATATATATACACATGTATGTAATAAATATTTTATGTGTGCAAAGAATATGTAAATCATACAAAAAAATGTTAAAAATTCCTACAACTAAAATCTGACTTTGTGCCAAATACATAGATTCAAGACTTTTTTTTACTGAAACATGTGTAATTGCAATAAATTATATTAACACTATAAGAGGAGAAAAATGTGGGACCCATGAATTTAGCAAATTAGTATCCGAAACTTGCTCTTGCTCTGAAGTCGGAATAAGAAGAAGTATTTCGATGTTAATTTTTATATATGAAAAAAGAAAGAATGAAAGCGAGAAAGAAAAAGTTTCCTTTCCTGCTCCGGGCAGACTAAAAATAAATCCAAGTGTCAGGGCAGGGCCAGAAAGAATCGACGCCTTACAACGGGCAGTCAAAGGAGATAAGACCGGGAAAGGCGCCACCGCGCCGGGCTCCACCCGGATCCAGAATGAAGGCCCAACGGGCCGGGCCGGGCCGTGCCCAGATATTTAAGTGTCCCCCCCCCCCACGGCTTTTGCTTTTTTCGGGGGCTTTGCCAAGGGCAGCACGGGTGCCCCTTCTTTCAAGCTGTGGCCGGGCTTCGTATTGCGCCCCACCTGGCCTGTCGTGGGCTCACCCGCATTCCGCAGCGCCCCCTGCACGAGGCCTGGGGCGTGTGTGTTGGCTATTATGGTTCGCACTGCCTCCCCTTGCTCAATTCGCCCGCTTGTTCCATTGCCTCTTCCTTGTCTGCTCGCCTCGAGCGCCTCCTCTCGCCTGCCAATCGTTCGCCTCCACTCCACCGATTGCCCCCCTCGCCTCTCTCTTTGACATCTTCGGCTTGGCTTCAAGGTGGGTCTCCATTCTGCCTCACTAACCCGGCGTCTTGTCAGTTTCGTCGGGGTTTGGAGCTTGAGATTTGTGGGTGATGCAGTGTTTGTGATTCCTGCCTCTAGGGGTCGTTGGGTTTGTCAGTATTGAATGGATCGAGCCCGTGGGTGCTTGGCATTTTGGGGTGTTTTCGATTGCGGATTTTTATTGTGAGAACTCGATTTGGGATTGTTGGGGTTGTGACTGGGTTATGAGTGTAGATGTTGTTGGGGAGCATTGTGGGTTTTGTTTTTGCGATTGGGGAGGAGGGTGATGTGACATGACGTGATCGTGATGCCGCAGGGAGGAGGGAAGGGTCGGTCACAGGGGCGTTATAATTATGACTGGAACAGGGAAGTTCTTTGTCGGCGGGAACTGGAAGTGCAATGGCACCACTGAGTCGATCAAGAAGCTCGTGGGTGAGTTGAATGACGGGAAATTTGAGGAAAGTGTGGAAGTTGTGGTGGCCCCTCCTTTCCTGTACATTGGTCAGGTTATCGGGTCCTTGACAGACCGCATTGCGGTCTCGGCTCAGAACTCTTGGGTCGGTAAGGGAGGAGCTTTCACTGGTGAAATCAGTGCTGACCAGTTGGTCGACGCTGGCGTGAAGTGGGTTATCCAAGGTCACTCTGAGCGTAGGCACGTCATCGGCGAATCCAATGAGACCATTGGAAAGAAAAGCGCCTACGCATTGTCGAAGGGTCTGGGCGTAATTGCGTGCGTCGGGGAGAAGCTCGAGGAGCGCGAATCCAACCGCACCACCGACGTTGTCTTCGAGCAGCTGCAAGCATACGCGGATGCGATTTCCGACTGGTCCAATGTTGTCATTGCTTACGAACCAGTGTGGGCTATTGGTACCGGCAAGGTTGCCTCTCCAGAGCAGGCGCAGGAGGTGCATGCTGCCATTCGCTCGTGGTTGGGTGATAAGATTTCACCTGACCTTGCCTCAGCCACTCGCATCATTTATGGTGGTTCCGTGAACGGAGCTAACTGTGCCGAGCTAGCCAAGAAGGAGGACATCGACGGTTTCCTAGTCGGAGGAGCTTCGTTGAAGGGTCCTGAGTTCGTCACAATCTGTAATGCAGTCATATCGAAGAAGGCTTCAGCATAATCTCACTCAGAGACTGTTGCTTCAGCCTAATGTCTCAAATTAAATACTCGTATTTGTAAGTCATTATCGATTATCGATGAAGAGGGCTTCTATTCGCCGTCTTTTGATATGCACTGGCTTTCACACGGTTTGTTGAATACGTGATTTGGTGTCAGTGCTCCCGTGATACACACCATAACATCATCCCGGTTCATGTATGTGATTGTGCAGCGTTGTAGAGAATGTTATCTCTATGATTATAGTTTGTGTTGTTGACATTGTGGGCATCCACATTGTGCAATGAGTACGCAGGCCTTTCCTGCAAGACAGGATACCGGTACTCGAATTCTCCACGCTCTGGATCTAAGACCTCAAATGTTTTTTCAGGGCAGGATAAGCCCATTCGCATGCTGTAGTAATGCGTAAATACATTCATTAACATGCTTCCGTTGGCAACGTCTGCCTGTAGGCACTGTTCAATGCCGTCAAAAGGATCTGCTTATGTGCCATTCAGATCAGTGGGTGAAGATTCTGGATTATCTAAATATGAGAGTAACGACAACGTTGCAGCCACCTACATGTAAGCCCTTGCTGACTGTTTTCCAATTGGCACGCAATTTGTCATTTCCTCCTGCAATTAACCGTAGTTTAAGAGTAAGTTTTCTCCCCACTGAATTGTTCCAAATCCCTGCACTGTGAAGTCACGATATATTTAGAATGGTGTTCTGTCGTAAATCTTCGCAACTGAGGATAATGCGAAGTACTCTGCGACGTGATCCATTGAGCAATGATGAGTAACTTCATTCTTGTACCATCGACTTTTATTCTGTAAGCGTATTAAAACCGGTGATAACGCTATCAAGTCATTTGAAGCCAGGACTGTCTAAGTGAAGACGAGTGAGAACATAGCTCAACGTAGTAGTTGGCTGTCAGTAACTTATTGGCAGTTCTTGACAGTAAAAATTGTTGAACACTGATGGCCGCTAACCCCACCAACCAGACTACTTCAATGCGCTCGAAGCTTGTCTCCAAAACCTTGATTAGAGAATGATACATGTAGAGTTGGTTAACTATCACTCAACAGACAGGCCATGGTATTACCGCGAAGTTCTCGGGGAGTCGACCAGATCCAAGTGCTCATGTAGTACGTAAACGTGATCTGCGGTGAGACGGTGAAGCAGCACATATCTCTTTAGAATCTCATCCAGGATGCAGCTTGGCAGTTGCCATGTATACTTAAACGTTCAAGTATAACCCCTTTTGCAAAATCAAATTACACCCGATCTACTGCAGCGCTAGGCAAATGGTTCCTTAATCGCAAGTGTGTTTCCAATGAAGGCTATTGTGAAAAGCTAGACTAAACCAATAACTTGCCCGAAAACCTGAAGTAACAAACCACCTCTTTACCTGTGGTTTGTAGCAATGTTCGCAAGTTGTCGGAGTTTTTCCGCTTTGTTTCAGACGTCGCGTCTCAAGCTTGTAAGCTACACCGCTGCGATGCTTCTATTACACCGCCTTCCAAATGTTACAGCCACCCACACTGTTGATTCGTTCAGCTCTGTACAATAAGAAGTGGGAATTCTGAGCATCGGCAGCTCTAGTCTTCCTGCACTGGCCCGTGCATCAACATTTCGTTTTATTGTACTTGATTTTTGTACATGTGTAGTTATCACAAGCAAATCCGTGATCGATCAAACTGCAACAAGCATCTCATCTCTCTCAGTTTTCAATGCTTCTCTTCAATCCCTCGTTTATTACATCTTACGAAATCTTTTGTTAGCACCCTCGCTGCTCTGTTTACCAGGTTATACAATACAGCTTGTGTCAGCCAACTTCTAAATCCTATAAAAAAATTCGTGTTTTTGTGTGACTGCATCATTCCTATGAATCGCGAAGCCACAGCATTGAATCATAATAGTAGAAATTTCAAGCAAGAAGATCCGAGCTCATTCTTTTCCACCCACTCTCTGTCCCTCTCACGACGCTTTGTGAGGGTCTATCTCCAGCTTTTCTTGTTAAAGTTTTACTTTTTCAAGTGTTACATTCTCAGTGAACTCTCTTTCCTTAAAGCGAAGAAAGTTGAAAACAACCACTGATGTGCCAATCACGTTCCACACGAATTTCTCATTTAGCTGATTAGGTTTTAGGGTTTAGGGTTTAGAGAATTATTGTTTCATCATCACTTCAGTGCTGGGAATCGATGCAGTTGGTGAGACGCTGATTAGAAGTGCTGGGAAGCCAATACATGGATAGAGAGACTTGTTCTGCTATTGATTGCGAGGATATTTTTCGTGGCTGCCAATGGTGACTAGAATCGTGATATTGTAGGCGGTCACTCGTTGGCTGTGCCTCCTCTTCCATGAAGTTTTGAAGACACATTTGAAACTTCCTGTCCGGCTTTGTTTCCATATGCTTTTGGCTCCTATTGCCTTGCCGCACATTTTTTCACTGCTCTGTGGATAGAGATGAGATGTGTGAGACCTCCTTTCACTCTTCCTGATCTATCAAACTTCTCACGTTGTACTATGCAGAGTTTTTGGTGGAAAAGATCCGGAGTGGTTGGATATATGTATATATATATATATATTCGGGAAAGTGACGACACGCAATCTCAAAAACGGTGCTGATCAGAATTTCTGGTTCAGCATTGAATTTTTATTTTACTTTTCGATTACAACATGACATGTAGTTTTCGAATTCTTCAATAGTCCTTTTTGTCTGAGATCACACGTCAGATCGGTGCATTGGACGCCGGTTCTTGACGCTTCTTGGACATTCTGAATATTTGTCAACCTATTTTGTAGCGACTTCATTGAATCATTCTCAATCCCTCACTATTTCTTCATTAGTTACCTGCTTCACCACAACTCCCTGGTGCAATTTCAGATGATTCCATATTCCGTTGCGTCTAACTGTGTTATTGTCAAGGGTATTAAATGTGCCTTCAAAAACAAATGAGCTGCAGGATGTCTCTCGCATGATCTTATATCTTATCGAATAGCTCGGAGTTAATAGTCTACTACCCAAATCACCGCTTGTTGGAAGTATGCAGAGTTTGAAATCCTTAATCTTGAACAATCTGAGAACTTAGTAGTGTGTTTTTGTCTACATATTGTGGAGATTAGTAGACGGTTACATCACTCCTGCAAAGTCTCACTCGGAGCAACCAGAGCCTGAAGTATTGCGTGGGGTTTCGATTGCAGGGTGTTTAAAACTTGGGACGGAATTTCGAGACGGAGGTAAAGAGGCGGTGGAATGACACTCAGCCATGAAAAGTATTTCTTAGAAACAGACTTTGGGCTGATATCGCCAGGGTGAGCGCAGGAATAGGCAGATGATGTCACATTTTCACATAAAAATCTGCGGGTGTGTGCGTTCAACCCATCTCAGTTCTGGATATAGTAGATATAAAGAAGAACAACTGTACGTAAAGATATATATTATAATGCATGTACTATATTTGCTTTCGTGTGTGCATGCATTTCCCTATTGACTGAGCAAGCTGCACTAATTAGCCCAACAGTTAGCCCACACGCAAATGATTCCGAACGATGTTGTGCGCTCATTCAAATGGCCCCAGTGATATACCCGATTCCGTTGTGAGACTGCACTATCCTGCACGTGAGTTCTGCAAACCATATCCTGCACGTGGGTTCTACACATCTCCTTTTGAGGATTAATCCTCAAAGGTGTCGGGTTGTTGAAGTTTTCAGTGGCCAGCGCTCCCCCCCCCCCCCCAAAACGCGGCTTACTGATGCTCTTCAGAAACAAGACTACTGTTCCGGAAGTACAAGCTATCGTTGCCGAGGATGATAACCTTCGACTACTCTACGACGAGCACCTCCAGCGCCGGAAATCGGGTCTGCCCACATGGGATCCACGAATTATTGGCAAGCTCAATCTCAACTCCACATAGTTTAGTATAAGTCTGTGCATATGTCTGTTCGAATATACATATATAAATGTATTTATATATTGCACCGCAGAAGTATACTGGATACTTCGTGAACATCCTTTGAGGGTCGATAGTTTTATTTTCTCCACCGCGTAGATACGTGTGCTGTGATCGTACAATCCGTGCCTTGCATGATTCCATCGAGAAAATGGTATGTTGGGGGAAAGGCATTGAATAGCACCACCACCACCACGTTGCTACATGCCACTTGGTGAACATGAGATTTATATTAGTCGAGTGAGCAGTGTGCGATGCGATGAATACTCTCTGGGGATGATGCTGTGGAGTGTGCGAGAGAGCATATATGTATAAACAAATCTGGGATGGTCTCTGGGCCTCGGCAATGGAGGAGAGGAGAGGGTGAGTTCTAAGTGAGAAGAGAGCTTCAGAGATGCCTCCGTAAAACAAAGGAGAGAGCCAAGGTGAAGCAGGGATAGCCAAATCTTTTGTATCATAACTAAGTGCCTACCATGCGGATCACCGGATTCTAAACCGAGACTTCCTCCAATGCAACTATAAATCCCAACCAATGACTCAATTTATAATTTTCTAATATTTAGACCAATCTGTGTTTTGCCCAGCCTACTGTGTGTTCACTGCTTAGGAGCAGCGAGCGGCCAGTGGGCCAAGCAAAACTCAAATTGGTACTGTGGACGGATGAATTTGGGTGAGGATAAAGTTAGGTATGAGTTGGGTGCCTTCTTTTTTTGAAAGGCTCATTTTTGCCACACTTCAAACTTAGTAGAAAAGAAGTGCCCAAGTGTTTTCTAACTTGTCCACTTCATTTTTACTCATTGCTTCACAAAACAAGCCAACTCTTCCACCTATAGTCACCAAATTTGTATGTATATTAAAGTCACACCTCAATGTTGTTAAAGCCACAACCACCTTTGCCATCTCATGATTGATTCTGTCCATCCCCAGCTCCCATTCCCAATCTCATATCTCCATTCCCCTCCCTCTTTCCATGTCCCCTATCGGAACTCCCCCCCCCCTCCCCTTCATTCCTTGTCCCTCATTCCTTGTTCTCCTCCCTTGTGCTATGTCATTGTCCCTCATTTCCAACCTGTGACACCCATTAAATTGGTGCTCAAGCCTACATGGCATAGGCCTACATAGAGGTTATACCTCTCAACCTTAGGAATGCGCTTTTTTGTAGAGTTTCTTTTATAGAGAGGTGGTGGAAGTAGAGATATTGCAAGGATTTTTTTTTTTTCTTTCTTTCTTTTTCTTTTAATACAATGATAAGTTATAATTTTATCAATATTATTATTAGAACAAGTGGTTTGAATTTGGTGATTGGATAGTGAGGAGGATTGCGTAAAAGCCAAGGCCATGAAACATGGAAGCCACATCCCTAGTTTAAGATAGGCTCTTTGTGTTTGGTGCTCTCCAATCCTAGAGACAACTTGCTTGTTGCTGAATTCTATTGATCATTCATATCACTTCACAGGTGTGAATTGATAAATCTTATTTACTACTAATAATCTTCAAAATTTGTAATGTTTTATTATTATCTACACAAAATACCTTACAATGAAGAAGATAAATATGAACCAACAAAAAAAAATTGAGATTATACCATATTTTTGGAATTATATAATACCAATTTAATAAATGTTTCATGAGATTGCAAAGAAGATGCCTAGAAAAGAAAGAAAAAATAAAGGCACTCAATAATTACATAGCATTATGGTTATTAAAAAATAAAAAGAAATAAACAATTTTGTGAAATAAGGAGGGAGGGGGGGGATTGTCACGGACATACATATAATTACCTATATGAATAGATAAAAGTATGTAAAAGTAGATAAAAGTAAGTTAATTGTATAATATCTTCTAGAGAAGCTTCTTAGAAGCTTCATAGACGCTGCTTTGACTTTATAGGAGTCTATAGTTGACTTTTAGGTTAGAAACTTGG